GCCCGCATGCTGGCCACCGTCTTCACCGCGCTGGCCGGGCTGCTGCTCGTGCCGCTGCTCGCCGCCCTGTGCTGCCCCTACCTGTTCCAGGACGTACGCTACTTCGTGCGCCTGGCGGGGCTGGTGCGGCGCTTGCAGAGCTACGGGCGCAGGCGCCCGCCGCCCACCGTGCTGGGCGCCTTCCTGGAGCACGCGCGCCGCTCCCCGCACAAGGCCTTCCTGCGCTGCGGGGACCAAGCGCTGACCTACGCGCAGGCCGACCGGCGCAGCAGCCAGGCGGCGCGGGCGCTGCACGGCCTCGGCCTGCGCCAGGGCGACTGCGTGGCCCTCTTCATGGGCAACGAGCTGGCCTACGTGTGGCTGTGGCTGGGGCTCGCCAAGCTGGGCTGCCCGATGGCCTGCCTCAACTACAACATCCGCGCCAAGTCCCTGCTGCACTGCTTCCAGTGCTGCGGCGCCAAGGTGCTGCTGGCCTCCCCAGGTAAGCCGGGGCCGCCCTGGTACTGGACGGTACCGGGCGTGGGGCGGTCAGGGCGGTCCGGGTGCGCAGACGGGGGTGGCACCGAGGCCTTGCGACACTACTGCGGGGTCGCCAGAGTCGCCTGTTGGAGCTGCGTGGCAGGCCCTGTGCTGAGCCCCGCAGCGCTTGCTCCGAACCGGAGGCCGGATGAGGTCCGGACGAGGTCGGGACTCCGCAGAGACCCAAATGTGCCCACACCCGGTCACCCGTGTAGAGCGGCGCGGCTGTGCATAGCCTGAGCAAGGCCTCCCTACCCTGCGCTTTAATCATCTCACTATGCCTCGTAATAGCCAATAGGGTGTAAATGCTGCGCGAGTGATTGCGACGCTGTATTGCTTAAGGAACAGGACAAGAAAAATAGTCCAGATGCGTTGGGCTCGAACGCCATTTCTTTCGCCTAATGTTTTCCACCCAACCTGGGCTGAATCCCAGAGGCTGAAACCAGGGCTGGTGAGGGCCCTCGGTGTTTGCGGTGTAGCTTTGAATCCTAGCAGGTGAGGGTTTCCCTGGGTCTTTTATAGATGAGACCCCGGAGGCCCTGGGAGCTAAAGCCGGGATGGTCGTGTCCCGAGGGCAACAGAGCTGTCCCTCTCCAACGCCTTGGCTCTTAACCGGTCCTCACTTCTGCACTAACACGCAGACTTGAGTGTGCTCTTGATCGCGTCCAAAGAGACAGTCCTCGCCCCGGCCGCCTGACTGGCCTGTCATCATGGGAGGTCGTGTTCCTTCTCTGCCTCTCAGTGTCCCTCCTGTGGCGAGGCTGTCTTCAGGACAGCCAGGACCCCGAAGCCTCCCCGGCTTCTCACTGCGGAGAGCAGGTACCCCGCCCCGACACCCAAGGAAAAGACTTTGAGGTCCGCTAGGGGCCTTTGGGAGCCCCGTTTGCGCCCCCCCTTTGCACCTATGGAAACAGTGACCCGTTCGTGGGTGTTACCTTCTGCGACGTTTCAACCAGACCCCCAAGGATAATATTACGCTCAAGGGGTCCCAGGCCTGGAAGAAACAGAAATAGTTATCCCAGGGCCGATGGCAGGAGTCCCTTTGCAACAGCTTGTGTCTGCACGGAGACCTTGCCCTCCTCCAGGGCTTGCCTCTGGAGCAAGGGCATTTCTCCCAGTCGGTGAAAGTGGGCCAAGAGACAAGGGTGAGGGTACAGCCCGCGGAGAGCCGGGCAGACCCACCATGGTGGAATGCTTTTCTGTGCCAAGCCTGTGCTGAGGCTTTATTGCCCGGAGAGATGCATGTCATCACTCTCATCCCTTCCCATAACTGAGGAGACTGAGGCTTAAACTTCCACACCAGGTCTGTCCAGCCTCAGAGCGTATGTTCTCTCTTACATCACGCCCTCTTCTCCACTCAAGGCAAGAGACAGGGTCTGGGTATACAGCTAGTAAAGCTTAGAGTGGCACACATCCGGTCTGCTCTTGGTTTCATAGCTGGGGAAACTGAGGCAGGACAAGCCGTTGGCCTGGTGCACCCAAAAGATGGAATGTTGATTCACATATGAGAAACCAGGGAGCTTACGCCTCTGTGGCAGGAAATAATCCCAAAAAAGTGAAGCCTTCATATAAAAATTTGGAAGCAAATGATGATTTTAGAGACAGCCAAATTATGCAAGGTAACTTTCAGGAAAATTCCCAGCAATTTAGAGTTACCCAGGAAAAAGGTAACTGCACTACTTAGTAACTGGAAGATCCCTTTCAGCGTATTATTCTCCCAGCCTCCCTAGAGGGAAATCGTTAACCCAGCGATCTTTGTACCCGCCCACCCCAGAGGACATTTAAACATTATTAACTCCTTAGTAATCGCAGAAGCAATCACCTTCCGAGGGACTTCATACGCCTGGAGTTGAACTGAGAAAAAAGCTCAGAACTAACGGACTGTAATAAAAATTGGCTCTGTAAGAAACAACTAGAGACAGGTTGAGTATCCCTTATCTGGAAAGCTTAGAACAAATGTTTGGGTTGGGCTTCAGGTGTGTTTTGTTTTTTGTTTTTAGATTTTGGGCTATTTAGATATAATGCATGGGATATTGGGAATTAGAACCTAAGTGCAACCGCCAAGTTTGTTTATTTCTATGTACGCCTTATACACACAGCCTAAAGATCATTGTATACAGTAGAGTTAATAGTTTTGTGCATGAAACAAAAGTTTTGTGGGGTGAACTTCTCCATGAGTGGCGTCATGTTGACACTTATAAGTCTGGGTTTTGATGTACTTCCAACATTTGGATTAGGAATTTGCAAACTGTACTCTTTTTCCCCTTCCCAGTGACAGCCTGCCCCCTAAAGGGTCGCATTTACACAGAGAATATGACCTTCCTACATTCAGGTCAGACTTAAGCCAGACTTGCCAGTGGGACCCAAGCAGTCTCTAGCAAGCAGCTGCCCTTTGAGAAAGGCCACACATTTTTAGAATTTTTTTTCTTAGTTTTTCTAAATCACTGAGACCCGTTTCCCCATGGTGCATGATTACCCCTGAACCCGAAGCAGTGCATGGCAAGGAAAACAGCAGAATCCATAGTTTCAGGTCCAGGAGAAGAGTCCATGCGGCAGTGTACACACTAACCTTGGGAAGAATCCAGACATTTGAAAAACATTCACTTTTTCCACATCCCTGAGCTACCTTTGTACACAGTGCACTTTGACTTGGAAGGGTTACTACCAAGAGAGGACGGAGTCCAAAGTCATGGACTTAGCTGATATGCCCAGGTGGAAATGTGCTGAATAGGCTGACTCCGAGAATTCTCTGGAGTTGGAAGAGAGCTTAGAGATGCTCCGATCCTGTCATCTTATAATTTCAATGAATGTTTTTTGCTTCAAAAAAAGAGCTTAGGGGGCTGGGGATTTAGCTCAGTGGCACAGCGCCTGCCTGGCAAGCGCAAGGTCATGAGTTCAATTCCTGGTAGCGGAAAAAAAACAAAAAAAGAAAAAAAAAAAAAGAGCTTAGGAAAGAAACCTTGATGAGCAGAAAAGTCATCGTTACACAGAACAGGTATCTGAATGCTGTCTCAAAATGCTGCTTTCATAGGTCTAGTGTGGGACCCCAAAAAGCATCTCCTCAGCCCCAGGTGAGTTTGAAGCCAATGGTCTCAGGGGCAGGCTCTGAGAACGCATCCAGCTTCCGCTTGCTTTATAGCTGAACAAACAGATACAGAGGTGAAATCAATGCTGGGTCAACAGTAGGGAAACAGAAACAAACCCAGAATTTTTCTCCTATCCAGGGCATTTTTTATTCTGTCAGCCATCTGAACCTGGTTGGTTCATAAAGGTGACTTTGATCCCATATTTTGAATTTCAGCTGCAGGACTTAGGAGCTTGTATGTGTGTCAAATTCTGGAATATTTCTAAGTAGAAGACCAACACAGTGACATTTATCACGAGGACTGATCCAGTTGTCGTGACCTCTGGAGACTATTTTTGAGGTTTGAAGGGCTCAATCCCGTCAGAAAACAGTGCCTGTGTGCTCCTTCCAAATGTATGATGCATACAGAAAGTTAAGGTTCACAAGATCTTCCCCAAATCAAACAGAAACCCTCATCTCTCAAAGAACGTGGTTTCTTGTCTCCTGTACATTTCAGGAGCCTTCTCCATGTTGGGGGATAATCTAAGTGATCTCATGGAACAGTTCTCTCCAGTGTTATGGACCTGACATCAGTGTTGTGGTTGATAGAAGCCCACTTAATGGGCCTGTTCTTTTTTTGTTTGGTTGGTTTTATTTTTTGGTTTTTTGGGGGGAGGTTGTTTTTTGTTTATTTTTCCGGTACCGGGAATCGAACTCATGACCTCACGCTTGCCAGGCAGGCACTGTGCCGCTGAGCTAAATCCCCAGACCCAAGGGCCAGTTCTTTTCACACAAATTCTGAAGCAGAATATGCATGAAACAGGGAAACATGTTTAATTTCACACATCAGATTTTGTAAGAGCACCCAGAAGTAGTGCATCTATTCCCATGTGTGCTTTCATCAGGGTCATTACTAAAGTAACTCTGCTATTGGGAGGGGGACAGGGGTCTCCTGAGTGCCGCTCACCCACTCCCTGGCCTGGCTCACCATGGCCCTGCAAGGCCCCCACAGTGCGGGTACGGGGACGGCTTTCGGGAAAATTAGAGCTACGCTGTTGAAAGAATACCCAGAGAGACTGCAAAATGGTCCTGTTTCGCTTTTTTGGTTTTGCAAGTTTGAAGGAAAAAAAAAAAAAAACTAGACTTTCTTTACGCGATATACTGAAGGAAAATGTTTCCACTTTCAAAAATATTTCATCATTGAAAGTTCTCCAGGAAGGAACGAGTGTTGGGAGCAAGGATGATTGTCGTCGGGTGGGTGTGGTGGCCGTTGTCTCGCAAACTCTTGCTGCTCCGGCGGCCTGGGGAGACACAGGGAACTGGTTCAAGGATCGCAGGGTCTGGTAAAAGCACCAAGCCACGTGTTGTGACCAAGAGAGCAGGGTAAGTGTGCCGAGAGCGCTGAGTGCTTCTCGGTCACGCTGATGAGGGCGCAGGACCATGCAGGAGGCGGGGTGGTCCAGCACAGGAGGACCGGGCCCAGCGTCCGCTGACGGGCACGCTTTCCTCGGTCCTTCAGCTGTGGAAGGATGACAGCAGGGTGAGCTTTAACCTGAGCCTTCGTTGAATCTGAGTACTGAAAGGTCTCTAATGTAGAGAAATCAGGGATGCCGAGAACCCAAGGAACAGTCAGAAGCAGTGGAGGAGATGCTTTTCTGATGCCGCTAGTCCAGAATCAAGGCAGAGGGGTAGTCTCACACCCTCTGCAGGCTGCCCAAAGCATAGCTTTGCAGAATTGCATCAGTGCACCTTGTTCAAAGGCTTAGCATTCTCTCGTGTACGTTGGAACGAGGTTCTAGTGATCCCGTGTGCAGGACTCTGACCACTACCCCCCCAGGCTGACCACTTTGATCCCCTTGCGTCCCGCTGTGCTTCAACACCTGCTAAAGATGTATGAT